GTTTTGTAGTTTAAGGTTTGATTCCTTTCTCTTTCTCATTTATGTATCTGCTGTACCAGTGAGTTATTCTTTTGTGTGTTTTCATCATGGTAGTTAATCATCCTTTTGCTTGCAGATGTAGGACTCCATTAAGCATGTCTGTTTTTTTTTTTTTTGTTTTTTTTTTGTTTGTTTGTTTGTTTGTTTTTTGAGACGGAGTCTCACACTGTCACCTGGGCTGGAGTGCAAAGGCACAATCTCGGCTCACTGCAACCTCTGCTTCCCAGGTTCATGTGATTCTTCTGCCTCAGCCTCCCAAGTAGCTAGGATTACAGGTGTACACCACCAAACTCGGTTAATATTTTGTATTTTTAGTAGAGACAGGGTTTCTCTATGTTGGTCAGACTGGTATCAAACTTCTGACCTTATGATCTGCCTGCCTTAGCCTCCCAAAGTGCTGGGATTACAGGCATGAGCCACCATGCCCAGCCCAAGCATGTCTTATAAGGCCAGTCTAGTGATGATGATTTCCCTTATTTTTTGCTTATCTGGGGAAACCTTTATTTCTCCCTTATTTCTGAAGGATAGCTTTGCTGGCTATGATGTTCTTGAGTAGCTGGCTTTTGTTCTGTTTCGTTTTGTTTTTCTTTCAGCACTTTGATTATATAATCTCATTCTCTCCTGCTCTGTGAGGTTTTGGCTGAAAAATATGGTGTTAGTCTAATGGGAATTCTCTTATATGTGAGTTGATGCTTTTCTCTTGTTGTTTTTATAATTCTTTGTCTTTGACATTTGACAGTTTGACTATAGTGTGCCTCTGAAAGTACTAGAGAACCTTTGAAATTCCGAGATCTGGATGTCCAAATCTCTCCCAAGACTTGGGAAGTTTTTGGCTATTATTTCATTAAATAGGTTTTCTGTGCCTTTTTGCATCTCTTCTCCTTCTGGAACCCTATACTGTGAATATTTGTTTACTTTATGGTATCCTATAGGCCCTGTAGTCTTTTTCATACTTTTTTATTCTTTATATTTTAAAAAAACAAAAAGTTTGACTGGGTTATTTCACAGACCTGTTTTAAGTTTAGAAATTCTTTTTTCTACTTGATCTAGTCTATTGTCAAGGCGCTCAGTTGTAATTTTTATTTTCTTCTTTGAATCCTTTAGCCCCAAGATTTCTGTTTGGCTCTTTTTTATATCTCTTTGTTGACTTTCTCATTGAGATCCTGAATTATTTTCCTGATTTCATTGAATTATCTATCCATATTATTTGTATCTTGCTGAGTTTCTTTAAGATCATTATTTTATATTTCTCTTCAGACATTTTGTAGATTTCCTCTTCTTTGGGATCTGTTACTGGAAAATTATTGTTTTCCTTTAAAAGTGTTGTGTTTCCTTGTTTTTTCTTATTTCTGTGTCCCTATATTGATATCTGTGCATCTGGTGGGACAGCTGCCTCTTCCAATTTTATATTCATAAGCAAAGACTTCTTCCTGTAGATGTGTCCTATAGCATTGGTTGGGTAGGTGCTTTGGTTTTGGTGGTAGGTGGATGCAGTAGTATAGTCTCCATGTGATTTCTTTGGCTGTAATCAATGTAAGAAGTGCCTACAAATGCTTTAGTGGCCTAGACTGCAGGATTTTGTGGAGACAGTGGCATGGCCCTTCTGGGGGCAGGAGATGCCAGGCAGGCTGATTCTTGGGCTATGGGAGTTATGCACTAGGTGCTAGGCAATGCCAGTTGAGAAGGGAGGACACTGGCCTTTTCTCCTTTGAAGGTGCTAGAATAAATTGCCCTGTATCACCCAGTTTCCCAAGGGCTTCTGGCCAGGTCACTCTCTATGAAACCATGAAATAAAGATCCAGCTGCCCTGCCTGACATTTTCACATCCTTTATGCATGGAAAAGAAGGTAGCCATTCATCTCTCTCTTTAGCCATTTTTCTGATTCTGCTTTGTCAATTTTGAAAATCCATCTCAGTATCATGACCCCCATCCTTCACCCACCCACTGGGAAGCCCCCTTGAGGACACAGGTTTTGTCTTGGACATCTCTGTCCCCCTCAGTGTCTGGTATAGTGACTGATGCACAGCATGTTCTCAAAAAATGTTTGAATCACAGTACATTGAATCAGTAACAGTCTGACTGAGCCCCAGGCAGAAAATTCAGAGAGGCATTTTTTCTCTGTATTCCAGATTTCAGCTGTAGCCTCTTGTAATTCTCATATTGTTTTTCAATCACCAGAATTGATTTCCCTCATCCCTCTCCCCAGGGTCATCTCCAGTGAACTGTATTAAATTGCAATTAATGTTGACATTTGTTTTCCTCTTGCTCTCTCCCTTCTTTAAAGGGGGCACATGGGTGGTAGAAAATTGAAGAGCCAATAGTAATCACATCATAGAGGAGGTGTGAGCATTGGCAAGGGCATTTGCAATTAAATTAGGTGACACTTTTGCTGGTGGAGAAATGCACTTTCTGAGGAAGGAACACCAAGTGGGTATTACTGGCTTAAGGCACGCAGGCTTCTCTTCAGATGAGCTGCCAGGAGATGCTACTGCATAGCACAGGAAGAATGTGTGACCACTAGGATTATTTCCAGCACAATTGGCTTTGCATGGCCGAAGTTTTAGCAGTCGATTTCTATAAGCCCTTTTAAAATTGGAATTCATAAACAAATCTGTGCGCTCTCACTCTATGGCTCTTTTTTCTGCTCTTTTTGTTGTTTCATTGTTCCTCTCACTGCTACCTAGCTAGCATCCTGGTGTCAGGGAAGTGGACCAGATATTTTCACACCCGTTATGTTCTGGATGCTGTGTTAAGATGTAGGGCAACAAGGTAGATGTCATCCTTGCTCTTTAAACATCTGCAGTCTAAGACCCAGGCAATTTGGATATGGTGTAGGAAAAAAAAAAAAAAAAGCTCTCACCAAGATAAGCATAGAAGAGAGGAGTATTCTGCAATTGGACCATCAGAACCATGCAAAAAATCTCCCCTTAGATTCTAATACCCCCAGCCCTCCCACCTGCCAACCCAGACCCTTCCCAAAGAATAAGCTTTATTAAGAGTTTCAATCAGCTCACTCTTATTTTTTTTCTTTCTTGCAATCAGTGATTCATCAGACTGCAATTCATTAGGATTACCATTATTGTTGATAATAGCGCAGCTGGGCACTCTATCTCAGTCAGGAGCTCTCTGCTGACAGGAGGGGCTGATGGCAAATGCAGAGGTGGGGAGTCCATCCTGCCTGAAGCTGGAATGCCTCAGAGGTGGAAGACTAAAAGAGGCCAAAGGACCCAACAGTCCTGATCCAAAGTTCCAAGTCCCATTGCTCTTCTGTTCTCCCTGGGCTGACTCTAGACCTTCCTATATTTCCTTACTAGGACTCTTTTTTTTTTCTTAAGGGCATATTGTTTTTAAAAGGGATGAACTCTTCTCTAAGAATTATTTTATTCCCTGCCCTCTTCTCCAGTTTGCTCCTGCAGAAAAATGAGCAAAGCATTACGTATTTCATGGGATTCTTGGGATGATACAACAGGATAATGAATACAAAAGCCTATGACACAATGATGGAGGTAATTGGCATTTTTCAGCGTCAGTTCTATGTTATGCATTGCGTATACCATATCTTATAAAATCTCTACAGAAACACTGTGAAGTAATTTTCATTTATTCTTAAAAATATATTTATTGAGCATCTATTACATGCTCAATATGATGCAACATGCTAAGGCTCCAGCCCTGAGCAAAACAGTTTTTCTCCTGACAAGGAACTTACATACTAGAAGCTGCTGTTACACCATTTAATAGACTAGGACACCAGGGTTCAGACACATTAAGTCACATAGCCACCTTTCCGGCTCTGAAGCCAATCCCTGCTCTGCTGCCCTCTACCTCCCTCTGTTCCTGGTCTAAGCACAGTACTAGGTATGAAGGGAGCTTTGTAAACGTCTAAAGCTTTCTCAACCCTTGTTTGGTTGTGCTTAAACTTGGATATATGTCATCAGGGAAAGAATAGTGTCTGGGAATTAGATGAGAAATGTAGATGACGTGTCCAAACTCAGAAAAGTTGTTTAACTTTCAACAGCCTTAGTTCCTGTGGCTGTGAAATGGGGATAAATATACTATTAATACTTAAGGTTATGATGGATTTCCAAATACCTAGGGTATGGGAATGCACTTTAGAAACTGATGTCCTGAGCCAGAATGAGTTTTTCCTTGGCAACTTGATAGACCCTGGGTGTCTTGGGAGCCTGCTCAAATAGGAACCTGGGCTTCTCCTGGCACTGAGCACTGGAGTCACTTCCAGATCACGAGAGGCAAGACAGCATGGTAGCTATCAACCATGTTAAAATTCTAGTGTCTCACTTACTAGTTATGTTACTAACCTCACTGTACCTCAGTTTTGTCACCTATTAAATGGAAAGAAAAATAGTATCTACCTCATAGGGTTACCAGAATGAAATGATCTTTGGGGGATAACAGTAACCACCATGAGTCAATGCTTTTGCGCACCATAGTTTCATTGTTAAGTTTCATTCAAAACCCTACAATTCTAAGATATCACTGATGATTACATTTTTTGGTGTGAAAGTCAAGTCTAATTGTTTCTAGAGAATATTGTGTCCCACTCTTTGGTTTTAGATTTATCCCTTGCAAACTGAGAGGCTTTTGTTTTGTCTGTTTATTTTCTTAATGTAGTGTTTAGAAATTTAATGGAGCAATTTAGTTTCCATTTACTGAAGTAGATTATCAAAGGAACAGAAACACTAAAGACTAAGTTAGCATCCCAGAGTATTGCCTCACATATGTGTGACTTTTCATGTTTTCCTGACCAAAAAAAAAAAAAAAAAGAATGAGAGTTTCTATTTCCTTAAGCTGGGTCATGGCAAAGCCTCTTGCCTCTTGCCTCTTGCCTCATGCCCAGTCAACTCTCTGGATAACTAAATGGTTGGAAGTGGGGCTAAGAGGGTCACACAAGGACAAATCCTCACCCAGTGTGTCAGGACAACTTTGTTCTTCTTGCCAGATATGGTGGCCCAGATCGCTAAAACCCACATTTTTGGCTTAGAGGCCTCAAGCAGTATTGCTCAACTGGGAAACCAAAATTCATGAAGAGAAATAATGGTGGTCCGCTCCCTTCAAGTGAATGAAACACTTCAGGACATTAAAACGGAAATCAGCAAGGTATGGTGACTGACTTGTCCACACCATGAAAATAAGCCACCATTTATTCAGATCTCCATGCAGGTGACAATCCTTGTCTAGGTGCCTTGTAGTTTTTACAAGAAACCCATCCTATAGATGAGGAAACTTAACCTCATAGAGGTGAAGTGACTTGCCTAAGGTCACACAGCTGTGAAGTTATTGAGTGGGGTCTTCTTTGTTTCAAAGCCCTTGTCATTTTGTCAAATCACCGGAAAGAAATTGGGGATGAGGAAAGAGTAGAAAAAGCCTCAGGGAAAGTTGATGGTGATGGTGGTGGGAGAGGTGGTGGTGGTGGTGGGATTCATCAGTGGGAAATTGCTGTTCATCCTGATAGTGGTAATATCATTAACTATCCATTTTCAGAAAAGGATCCAACAACCACTTAATAGTACATATTCAACTCTGTTTAAAGAAATGAAAAAAAAGGAGTGAAGTTTGCAGACCTAAATTTCGAAAGTCAGAGGCAGAACTAAGCCTCGTTCCCCCACTTCTAATTGTCTTCCCGTCTCCCCCTCATCCATCTCAAGCTCCACGTTGTAAGATTTTTTTTTTTTTTTTTTTTTTTTTTTTTTTTTTTGCTTCAAGTCCAAATAGGAGCTAGCGATCCTAATATGTCTCGGCCACAGAAAAACACTAAGAGCTGATACTTATTAAGCACTCTTTGTGACCAGCATTGCTCTAAGCACTTACCTGTGTTAACTCATTAAAACTTCACAATAATCCTCTGAGATAGATCCCAATATCATAATAATTTAATAAATAGGGAAACTGAGGTGCAGAGAGGCTAAGCCACTTGCCAAGGTCACTCTGCTGGAGAGTGGCATGCTGGGTGCAAGCCCAGGCAGGCCAGCCCCCAAGTCTGCCCTTCCCCTCTTCACCTTTGGGCTCCTGCTCTTATTCAGCAGAACCCACACCCGGCCTTGTTCTTCTGGTTATAGCAGTGGTTTTGCACAGACTTGCCCAATACTCACTCACTGGAGCTTCTCACAGTTTTATAGAAGTCCTGGTGTCTAGGGTTAGGGATTCATTCAACAGCCATGGAACACCTATGCAGCAAATGTGTATTAATTCCCTCCTGGCCCAAGGCACTGAGCTGGACACTGTAAATCCAAGTCCTCATCCAGGTACTTGTGAAATTCTAGGTTTCCTGAGGGCTGGAATGCATTTTCTATTTTTTTTTAATCTCTGTCCTCAGAGCTACATCCCCCTCTAACTCCTACAAAGATCCTCTTACACCCTCTCTAGCTCTCCCACTTAATTTTTCTTCACAGCACTGGGAACATTTCCTCTCCCAGACATGTATTTTATCTGCCTTTCTTCCCCACTCCTACTCAGTGAGAGCAGGGCTTTGTTCTCAGCCCAGAGCCTGCGTGGCTCATAGTAGGTGCTCAGTAAATACATATTAGTGATCAAAGCTCAGACCTCATATTATCTTTTCAGTTGGAGCCAAATGGGATTGATTTACAACTGCACAAAAAGAGAAATGTTTTAAATAACAAGCCCTTTGAGGCAATAGAAAAAGGTGTATCCATTCATGGCTACACTCAAAACACCCCCTTTCCCAGATCTTTACCCCAAAGAGAAATGCTGTCATGAGTTTTTTGCTGCGTTTGTCTTACCTGAGTCTAAGGGTATTGTGTCTTACCCTCCTCCTAACCCAATTCCACAGTCACACATCGCATCCCACTTGCTGGTCTCCTGTCTTACATGGAAAATCAATGTATTTCAAGTAGGAAACAACTAATACAGAGAGGTTTCACCTGAGGTGGAAATTATGCAGGCAGCTTAATGCAAATTGGAGGGAAAAGCCAAAAATAAAGTGGTGTTAGCTAATACAAGCATGCTCATAATCTCATGCTACTGCTTTCTTCACTGGGTTTGTAGCAAGGTGGGCTGTGTGCAGAGCCCAGTTAAAACTCACATTATGTTGAGTTTAGGCATTTTGGGAAAGGATGTAAATGGAAAGATGAACTGCTCACATTTATCCTGATTTGTAGCAGAGGCATTAAGTTTTTTGTAGCTTTCATTGTATCATGCTTCTCCTTCTATTAATACTCCCCATCCCCAACCTATAAAGGGTGCTCTGGGAATAGGAGGATGATAATAGTGGCTTAGTCCATTTTGTGTTGCTATAAAGGAATATCTGAGGTTAGGTAATTTATAAAGAAAAGAGGTTTATTTGCTCACAGTTCTGCAGGCTGTACATGGTGCCAGCATCTGCTTCTAGTGAGGACCTCAGGCTACTTACACTCATGGTGAAGGCCAAGGGAAGACTCATGCCATGGGCAAAGATCACATGGTAAGGCAGAAAGCAAGAGAGGCAGGGAGATGCCAGGTTCTTTTTAACAACCAGCTTTTTGAGAATTAATAGAGCGAGACTCACCCAGGAGGGAGGGCATTAATCTATTTATGAAAGATCTGCCCATATGACCCGAACACCTCCCTCTAGGCCCCTCCTCCAACCTCGGGGATCAGATTTCAACATGAGGTTTGGAGGGATCAAATATCCAAACCATAGCAAATGGAAACCAGTTTCTAGTTGCAGTGACTTCTGCTCCTCACATGTGGGTTCTGATATCTGAGGCTCAGTGACATTCAAAATACATTGGCCCTTAATTTTGTCCTGGTTCTAGATTTAAGATGGTTGTTTTCCAAAGTTCATAAATGGGAGTTGGTGGGGCTGTCAATGAGGCCACATAATACCACTGAGTATGCTCAAGCATGTAAGCATTTGCTAACTATATTCTTCCTCCTCCAGGAAGCAGGAGGATTGCCATCCATTGAAGCTCTGAGATTCAAATGCAGAGCCATGTATGTCTGCCTTACAGAGCATGCACTTACCATTAGTAGCACTCTCCTGGCAGACTGCAGTTGCTTTGCCATAATATACTGCTTCCCATGTGTTGCATGTCAATTTTGTGTGGCATGGGCAGATACTTTTTATTCTCATGGTAATATATTCTCAGGAGTATGAAGAAAAATTATAATTAGCTGATGCCCAATAAATACAACTATGATTTATTGGGTATTGTTGCTTAGAAATATGTTAGAATTTACAAAGTGATTTGATTTTTCTAAATTATTAAGCAAAGAGTAATACACATGGTATTTGTCTAGAGCACAACTCAAAATGGTGCTGTATAAATGATGGAAGTTGAAGAAATCATGCTAGAATGTGAGAATTTTTAGTTAACTTTTTAAAAACCACCATGCATATGGTCTGTCTACCACTACCCAAACTACCTCCCCTACTTCTAGAAGAAAATGTCAGTGTGCATCTGGATCACCTGGGGGTGTCCTAAAAATGCAGATCCCTCCTACTCTCCCCAAAAGAGTCTGCTTCAGTGGTTTTGAGGTGAGACCCAGAAATCTGCATTTTAATAAGCTCCCAAGCTGGATTTCTAGGAGGAGGTTCTAAGACCTTTCTTCTCAAAGCACTGTTTCAGAATGTGCTCCCTAACTAAGATGGTTCCTTGGCACGGAATGCTCACTTTCATTTTCCCCCAATGATCTTTTTCTCTGGGAATCAAATCTCGTAAAACCTAATTTAATTGTTGGGCAATGCTTCCTCTTTAAAACCACTTGTACATGCCGATCTGGGGGCTGCTTGGCCAATCCAGATCTCTCAACCTCAACGTTACTGGCATTTGGGGCTGGTTAGTTCTTTGTCGTGATAGATTATCCTTGCACTGTATGATGTTTAGAAGTGTCCCTGGCCTCCACCTACTAGATACCAGTGGCACTCATATCCCAGCCCCCATCTTGTGACAATCAAAAATGTCTCCAGATATTGCCAAATGTCCCTTGTAAGGGGGAAAAAATGACCCAACATTGAGAAGCACTAAGCTAAGCTGGAGTAACTGAAAACTCAAGTATCCAGATGTGAAAACTATGCTCCAGTAGAAATCATTCATAGTGCTGTAGCCCTTGAATTTGTATTCTGCCTTTTTTTCAGAAGCCCCAGTCCTATGCTATGTGAAAAAAAAGAATGTTTTATGGAGTGAGTAAAGCAGAATAAGTAGCCTGCAGCCTAGCATAAACCTACTTTAGATGAGCTTGCACATTTGTCTTCATGGAATCGGAAAGTAACTGGAAGAGATCAGTTGGCTAATGGGTTCCCCTTGTAGGGGAATTCAACTGAACCAACATGTATTACAGCCTTACTCTGTACTAGGTACTGCAGAAGCTGTTGAGGATATAAAAAAGAGTAAGATTGAGTCTTCTCCCTCAAGAGGCTTAGATCTATTAGAAAAAGTCAGGCAAGTACCCCAAAAGAGACAGCATGACATAATGGTTTTTAGTGACATTGCCTGGGTTCAAATCCTGGGTTCAAAATCAGCTGTGTGACTTTGAGCAAGTTGCATGACCTCTCTGTGCCTGTTTCCTCAGCTGTACATTGGGGATAGAAATAGTACCTACCTCAAGGAGTTGCTTGGAGAGTTGTACAAATTCATATACATAAGGACCTGAGGACAATGACTGGCACATAGAAAGGGCTATCTTAGAAAGCCTAGTGCTGAAAATTAGGCCTTGAGTCAAGAGACTTGGGTTCAAATCCCAGCTCTGAGCTTGGGTAAGCAATGTAATCTCTTTGAGCTTCAAGTCCTTCATCCATGAGATGGGATGATCATATATTTACCCCATAGGATGATGGCAAAGATAAAATGAGATGATCTAGGAAATGCCTAGCCCAGTCTGATACATAGTACTAAATAATGTTTTGTTGTTGTTATCGCTATTGCAAATAGGTTTATGCCAACCAACCAAGCTCATACCAGAGGCCTGTCTATTTGAAATGAAAAACAAGTCTGCCATGAGCCCAAGCAGTTGCATCTTTGGGTCAGTTCCCTAACTATACAGAAATGGTAATGGGAAGCTGGATTCCCAAGGCCTCCTGGGTGAGCACAGAATCCACTCAAGAGCTGGTGAGACTCATGTGCACAGGGTCTCAAACTGGGCATCCATACCACAGGTGGGGC